CTCACCCTCAGGCACCCTCCCCGGGCCTGGCTTCAGGGTGGGGCCCTGATGACCCTACCCTACGCAGGATGAACTGTGCCCTTGATCATATACTCACAGGGGTCTTTTATATCGCTCTTTGAAAGAATGAACTGAAAGCAGTGCCAGAAAAGTTCTTTAAATTCATTAAATGTTTTTGACTGTCATGTGGTTAATTATTAAATACTCACATTACACGTTCTTGTCTGACAGTCAGGTACATTCTCCTCTCTGCAGTCTTGATTAGGGCATCGCTGTTGAGGACACTGCCTGTTATCCTCCTATTAAAATGAAAAAATAAGAAAAAAGGAATGGAAAATAGGAGCAGAAGATTTCTTCAAACTTATTAAACATTTTTCCATTTCTTATGGAAAAATATGAAATACTCACATCACACGTTCGTGTCTGACAGTCAGGTACATTTTCCTGTGGGCAGTTTTGAGGAGGGCACGGCTGTTGAGGGCACTGCCTGTTATCCTCCTATTTAAATGAAGAGAAACAAAAATGAGAGAAAGAATCAACAGAAAACAGTGCGAGAAAGGTTGTTTGAGCTCATTAAATGTGTTTGAAAATCATCTGCTGTGGTTAATTATTAAATACTCACATTACATGTTCTTCTCTGACAGTCAGGTACATTCTCTCCTGGGCAGTTTTGAGGAGCGCACGGCTGTTGAGGGCACTGCCTGTTATCCACCTATTTAAATGAAGAAAAATAAACATAACATAAGCAATGAACAGGAAACAGGACCAGCAGATTTCTTTAGGTTCATTTATTGTTTTTCATTATTATTTTGTTGCGACTGAATATCAAACACGTACATTACACGCTCTTGTCTGACAGCGATCTTCAGTGCAGTTGGACCCATTGTGAAAAGGACAATCTGACTGGACCCCTGGAAATCAAACAAAGTCTTTAGATCACAATCTTTTTCTGCGTCTTTAATTGTAAGTTAGGATTTTATGCAGGCTTGGAGTTTTATTCTGCTTTCTTTCTCTGTGTCTCTCTGTCAACCTTTTTCTCTTTACTCTTTGTTGGATCGATCACCTCTGATTCTGCCCATGGCTTGCTTCCTGCACCTGCAACTCACTGCCTGCCTCATTAGTGCTGTTTTTAACATAGCTAAATACTGTGTTTTTACAAGCAGTAAAGCTTTCATTTCCTATTGAAGTTTACAAGTTGAAATCTTGTTGTAAATAAACCTTGCCAGTTGCTTGACTCTGCTCTTTGGTTGTGTTTATGCTGGAGTGTATACTGTAAGTAAGAAAATCTAAATTTTTCTGGTTCCACCCTCTGCCATCTCTGTCTGTCTCCACAGGTTTTCTTTACCTTTTCTCACTGAGTCACTGATGAACATCTGGCTTTGCTCTCTTTCCAGTAATCACAAACAGCATGGTTCTCATGTGATATACATGGGCTTGCCTTTACACACGCATACGCATTTTATGGACTGTAACCATAACCAGAATTGTCTTCATACTTTCCGACGTTAAGTCAGACAAGTCTATTAACACTGCAGGATATTTACTGTGGGCGAAACAGAATGTTAGTTTTCTGAGGGATTCCCTACCAAACAGATGAAATCACGGTCTTAATAACTTCCTCTATTATGTCTTTGTCCATTTAAAAGATTATGTTTATAGTACAGCAATCACTGAAGAGAAAAGTCACATTTATTATAAGCATTTACATTCCTCGTTGAATATAATTTGCTGACCTTGGGTATTTCAGCCTTTAATCACTGTAATGACTCAAGCAATGTGTTTGTGTGCAAGAGAAGGCAATAATCACCGCGCAAACAAGAGGTTAGTAAAGCTGCCTACTGTGCCTAAAGGCATTTCCTTTAGCAAGCCAAGAATGCATTTGCTAAAAGTGTGAGTCCACAAGTGTGTAATCATGGTGCCCTTGCAGCTGTCTGCTCTACGTATGTACTAGCAATGAAGCAAGTGCCAAAGGTAGGTCAGTGGGGTGTAAGAAAGGGGACAGTGGGCTAAATGTGGGGAAAAAAATGGGAAAATCAAGAGAAT